TCCACAAGTATTTAGATCAATTTGTCATCGTCTTTATTGATGATATTTTGGTCTATTCCAAGAGTCAAGAAGAGCATGAGCAACATCTGAGGGTAGTTCTCGGTACCCTTATAAAGGAGAAGTTGTATGCCAAATTCTCTAAGTGTGAGTTTTGGCTGAAGAAAGTGGCATTCTTAGGCCATATTATCACTGAGAGAGGTGTAGAAGTGGATCCAGCAAAGATTGTTGCAATTCAGAATTGGTCAGTACCAAAGAATCCATTAGAAGTTCGAAGTTTTCTCGGATTAGCAGGTTATTATCGTATATTTATCGAAGGGTTTTCAAATATTGCTCTCCCTTTGACAAATTTAACGAGAAAATCTGTGAAGTTCGAGTGGTCCGATTGTTGTGAGAAGAGTTTTCAAGAGCTTAAGAAGAAGCTTACATCAACTCCAGTGCTGATTATCCCTGATCCTACTAGAAGTTTCACTATTTATAGTGATGCTTCGAAAAGGGGTCTTGGATGTGTACTCATGCAAGATGGTCAAGTTGTTGCATATGCGTCGCGACAATTAAAACCGCATGAGCAGAATTATCCAACTCATGATTTAGAGTTGGCAGCAGTAGTGCACGCACTCAAGATTTGGAGGCATTATCTCTATGGTGCCCAGTGTGAAATATTCACTGATCACAAGAGTTTGCAATATATATTCACTCAGAAGGAGCTCAATATGTGCGAAAGAAGATGGTTGGAGCTTGTGAAGGATTATGATTGCACTATCCAATATCATCCGGGGAAGGCGAACGTGGTAGCAGATGCCCTAAGCCGTAAGGTGAAGGGTGGATTGGCATGTTGTATCACTCAACAGAATCAACTTATTAAAGAGTTTGCTCGGATGCAGATTGAAGTTGTCAAGACACTTCCTAAGGAGGTTACTGGAAGGGTTAACTCAATGAGAGTTCAGCCCATGCTGAGAGAAAGAATTCGGAAGGAGCAATCTTTCGATCAATTTGTTCGGAAGATGGAAGAAAAAGTTCAAGCTGGAGGAAGGCTTTTACCGAGGTTCCGATGGAGCATTGGAGTTCAGAGGAAGGATTGTTGTGCCAAAAGTCGAGGCCTTGCGGAAAGAGATCTTGACTGAAGCACATAGTGCACCATATTTAGCTCATCCTGGAAGCACCAAAATGTATCATGACTTGAAAAAGTCGTTTTGGTGGAAAGGGATGAAGAGAGATGCAGCAGATTTTGTGAAGAAGTGTTTGGTCTGTCAGCAAGTTAAGGCCGAGCACCAGAGTCCATTAGGCCTGTTGCAACCAATAGAGATTCCTAAATGGAAGTGGGAAGAAGTTACCATGGATTTTGTTACAGGGCTACCTAAGTCATCAGAACAACATGACGCGATTTGGGTAGTAGAAGACAGGTTAACGAAAGTCGCTCGTTTTATGCCTGTATCAATGACTATGTCGATGGACAAGCTAGCAGAAATTTATACTCGTGGAATTATTCGACTCCATGGAGTGCCTGTCACAATCATATCTGATCGAGATCCCAGATTCACTAGTAATTTTTGGGGAAGTTTGCATGAAGCAATTGGTACGCAGTTGAGTTTCAGTTCGGCTTACCATCCAGAGACAGATGGCCAGTCAGAAAGGACG